ATTGATTCTTCATGGTGAAGAATTCTTCTATTTCTGAAATATTTAACATTGTATGATTGGTTCACTGAACAATTATATGGGCGTGTCTTTATTGGTTTTTGTTCAGCACACAAAAAGAAACTATTCAAAACCCGCAAGCTGTTTGCATTGATATTTAAACTTTCAAGGCCTTGCTACACTTTTTTTTAATTTCTGCTGTAATCTTTTTTTCGCCTTTCTAAATATTATTTTTCACATTTCGGTACATACAGAAAATACAACCATCTTCATGTATATCAGAGACGAACCTTGTCTTTGAAGACAGATTTAAGGTACTCCGATCCTCAGGTTCTGAAAATCAAGCATTAATTAATTGAAAATGCTCACAAAAATGTCTCTGAATTTTCTAAGTAACACGTTTTTACCCACAATAATTCTTCAAACTTCATCTTTCAAAAATTTTTGAAAAACATGTTGCTAATCAAGTACGTGAATTCACCCGAGCTTTTGACCTCATTACAAACTCACAGAGTGGTTTTAGGGAATTCCATTCTTGCCAAACGGCACTAACCAAACTTACTGACAGCTGGTTGCATGCAATGGACCAAGGGAATCTCACTGGCATAGCATTTCTAGATTTCAGTAAAGCATTTGATTTAGTCAGTCATGATCTTTTAATTGAGAAATTGAGGCACTATAACTTTGATTCACTTACAATTAAATGGTTTCAGTCTTATTTAAATGAAAGAACCCAAAGTGTTAAAATTGGTGTATGTTCTTCTGATATCTTACCTATCACAGCAGGGGTGCTCCGGGATCTATTTTAGGTCCACTGCTATTTTTATTGTATATAAATGATCTCCCCCTATGTGTCAATCACTGTAATATTGATATGTTTGCAGATGATGCAACTCTGCATTTATCTGATAACAATGTACATAATATTGAAACATTTTTGAATTATGATTTATGCGAAATTGAAAACTGGTGTTTACAGAACCAAATGATTCAGAACACGAACAAATCAAAATCTATGCTTATGTGTACACAACAAAAAAGGTCAAAGTTAGATATTCCAGAACTTAATACAGAAATTTCTGGAGAAAAGCTTGAAAATGTTAATGTTGAAAAACTCTTAGGTGTCTATATAGATCAAAATCTTCATTATAATTATCATGTAGATTCAGTTTGTAAATCCTTAACATACAAGTTATTTACACTCCGTAAAATTAAGAAATTTCTTCCATTAAATACCAGAAAACTTTTTTATAATGCATATATTTGCCTTCAATAAACTACTGTCTTACAATTTGGGGCAATGCATCTAAAACTAGCATTGAAAGAATTCATAAACTTCAGAAACGGGCTGCTAGAATTATCCTTGATGCAGCACCCGACGAACCATCAAAACCATTGTTTGAAAAACTGGGATGGCTAAATGTATTTGAATTAGTCACATTACATAAGTGTATTTTATTGTACAAAACTTTTTATGGTATGAGCCCCGAATATCTCCAGGACCTTTTTGTTTTTCATAGCAATGATTCCTATTCCTTACGTTCAGAACTAAATTATAATCTTCGTTTACCAAAACATAGAACAATTTTATTTACAAATTCTATTCAATATTCAGGTGTAAATTTATGGAATAACCTACCATTACATATAAAATTATCACCAACCTTACCTATTTTTAGACGAAATGTAGAAAAAATTATAATTAGCCAACGTATGTAAATAAATGTTTGAATATGCCCTTTGTACAAGATGTTTGACAATTACTATTGTTTAAGACAATGTCTCTTGAACAATTAATATTGACTTCTTTATTTTGAATCTATATCTCATTTAGATGTACATTACATTATGCACTAACGAACTCTACATGTTTTATCTTTGATTGTATCATTTTATGTAATATGTTGTTTGAAATTAGAAGGCCCCGGGGAAGAATAGTACCTGGTACTAATCGGGTTACCTTCTCTAAATAAAGCATTATTATTATTATTATATTATTATTATTAATAGGTGATATCACCTATTCGAATAGATGATATCACCTATTTGAAATTAATAGGTTATATCACCAATTCGAATAGGTGATATTATATAAATATAGCCCTTTGATGAGGTCGATCCATAGATATATCGACTTCACAGAAAAGCATATCGACCGAGCACGAAGCAATATTTGCTTTTTTGTGAAGTCGATATATCTATGGTTTGACCGAATTAAAGGGCTACATTTGTTATATTATTATTTTTACAGAGATTGACAAAATCACCACTCGCTTGTCTTTTTTCAACACTGAGAGACTAGAGATTAAAAAAAAATCTGTTTAATAATGTAATGTGTGTAACTCTTTGTACTGATAGAATAATTTAAGGGATTTCCTTTTTTAAAAGGCTAATTTGTCTAATTAAGTTTTGTATTGATTTTTCAAAAAACAACTATTATCTCTTTTAACACTGTTTAACATAAAGTAGATTCTTATTCAATGCATCCTATGTCTTACTAATTATTTCAGAACATCACAATTATAAATAAAGAGTTGAAGTATTTTTTTTTTTTTTAGAAAAATCAAGTCATACTCTGTCTTAGCTGTTAAGAATTCAGCACAAATGTTGTTTTACAGAAAAAATTGTCCATGTTTAAAAGCATTAATTTAAGTCGATATTTAAGAATCTATATTTAGTAACTCAAGTCTTTATGCTGTTATATAATTGATCATGTGATCAAGTTTGAGCCAGTCAGAGAGCTTGGAATATATAAGAAAAATAATATCACCTAATATAAATAAATATAAATAATAAATAATTATTACTCAATTATTTCTTCTTAATTTTTCTTGAAAATTCAATTTTTTTTAAACAGGCTTGTTAATTTCTGTCGATGACGCAATCTGTGCGTACCTGATAGATTTGAGACCACGTGACGAAAACAATCCCATCTTTTGACTTAGCAGTATGCCAAGGGTTCATGAGGAGAGTTTGTTTGTTTATTTACACTCAGACCATACAATGGTATATGAGGTACAGGAACATATTTACATATATACAAAATACAAAGTCAAGTGAGGAAGAGTAGTATCAATTAAATAGTTACTAAAAGCAGGCCAATATCTTTTTAGCAAACAAAGACAGTTTAAACAGTGAATCAACATTTGTGATGGACATAATTTTCTCAAATTTATAAGTATGTACATGAGAACAATACTTCTTATCAATAAGTTTTACCCGAAGACAAAAAATATGGACACTCCATTACATAGTGAAATTCATCCCCCAAAGTATTTTTGTTACATAAATTACATAATCTTAAAGATCTATCAGTATTAGTCCATCTACCAGATGCGACTGGGAGTTTGTGGTTACAAGTTCTAAATTTTGTTAATACAATTCTTAAATCTTTTCGGAGTTTACTTAAGTAAATTTCTCGTCCAAAATTGTTTTTGAAAATCCTGTAATTTAAACATTTAGGTGAATTTTCTATGTTCATATGCCAGTCTTGTAAGAATTGATTTAACAACGTTTCTTTCGCAATAGATTTTAACCAAGTAATACTACTGAAATTTTGATTCATCCACACATAAGACAGACCACAGGAATTAAGATATCTCTTATACATTTCAACCATGGGTGCATAATTGATCCGTCAGAAAATTGTTTATAAAGAAAGCAATACATTATGTATGTCAGCTTACTCTCATGTGACATCAAAAGTTTAGCCCAGTAAGTAATCATTCGTACCTTTATACGTATTATTAAAGGATATTGCCCATTTTCCCCATACACCATACAATTTGGGGTACTCGACTTAACATGCAAAACAAATTTCAAAAATTTCAAGTGTACCTTTTCTAAAATATCTAGATGTTTTCATAGCCCCAAACTTCACACCCGTACAACAGAATCGGGCTTATAACTTTGTCAAAAAGATCTATTTGACAATCTACTGGCAAGTTAAAATACCTTATCTTTCTAAGTACTCCATACATTGCTTTTGAAGCTTGTTTAGTTAAGTGTGTTTCGGTACTTTTGAAAAACCCACTACGGGACATGATAACACCTAGGTATTTAAATTCGTTTACAATTTCAATTGGTGCTTCTCTGTACAAAAAAAAATTGGGGGGGAATCCTTCCCCTAGAAAAAAATTACTATCTTAGTCTTGTCTGTATTTACTTGAAGTTTCCAGTGGTCACAATAATCAGAAAAAATATTCAACGCTCTTTGTAAGTCATCAGGGTTATCAGCTAGTAAAACTGTGTCGTCAGCATAGAAAAGTATAAATAATTTAAACATAATCTGCATTTTATTTTCTATTTTCTCACTTAAGCTCTTAATCCCATCAATATTATTCTGCAGTAAATAATTTTTTAAATCAATGATATACAAATTAAAAGGAAATGGGGATAAATTTTCCCCCTGCCTTACCCCAAGATTACACATGAAAAACTCTGAGGTGTTTTGGTCAATACATATCATCGATTTTATACCACTATACATATTTTTGATAAATCTTAGATATTTACCATCTATCCCACTTTTCAACACTTTGGACCACAAACCAGAACGCCATACCGTATCAAAGGCTTGCTTAAAATCAATATATGCACAATAAAGTTTTTTCTTACTAAACATGACAAATTTACACAAAAAATCTAATATTAATATATTATCTATTGTACCATATCCTTTTCTAAGGCCAGTTTGAGCTTCAGTAATCAATTCGAATTCATCAGCAAAAGTATTCAAACGCTCACATAAAATGCTGGTAAAAACTTTTCCTAAGCAGCTTAGTAATGTTATCGGTCTATAGTTTTCAGGAAGAGTTGGGTCACCCTTGTAGCGTATCAGAAACCCTTGGCTAGCGAAGATGATAAATGAAGAGTGCCTACAGAATTTTTCAAATCTGAGAAACAATTTCCTTAAAATTAATATTGATAACTTGATAAATTAAGGTGTATTGGGACATCTTTTTTTAACTCAACCAAAAAAAAAAACATATGTAGGTACTTACCACTGGGTGATGCGAAGGGAAGTGCCACTAGCATTAGAAACAAGGTGATCCTACCAATTCCATCGACAGTCATCATTAAAACCAAATCTGAAGCACAATCGTGTTAAAAGAAATATGTTAATGGGGAGATATAGTCAATACAATATTTCTTAAACTGCTGTGGATCATTAAAAATTTTAAATATAGATGTAATCGGAACTTTATACGAAATTACTGTACAATGTTATATCATTAGTGAAGGACAAAAGTTCGAACGATTGTTTTCAATTGATTTCTAGTTTTCTAGTTTCTATTTCTTTATTTCATATTTTATTGCTTGTGGACAGGACCAGAGGACCCCTCTTTCGTGAAATATTCCCCGGGTCCAAGGGTGTTTTTTAACTATCTTCTTTTCTTCTTTTTTCTAACACATTTAACGTCATCCAACAAGACGCCAACGGGCCTAATAGGTCATCTGAGTATCATGTAACAACTTTCTAACAATTGAATTTGGTTCGTATTTTAAACAAGATGCCATGAAATTCACAATCTTGAAAGAGGCACCATTGTTTATCAAACTATACACTAAACATGCTTGCTTTGGTTAATCAAACCTAGAGGTAGATCAGAGTAACAAAGAGAAAATGCATTCCCACTTTATAACTAGTTGTGCACCACACCCTACAGGAATCACTGACCCTGAGACCACATATTTCCAGATTCTGGAAATTTTATCATAAATTTTATATCATCATAAATGGTTGATTAATACCAAAAAGCAGTTTTCCAGACATTAATATTTATTTTCAGACAATGTAACAACCCCATCCCACCCCCACCCCCCGAGGTACCCCTGACTCTGGGGACCTGAAATTGACCATTTTGGAACAGATGCCTTTCTTTATCATAAATATGCACTAAAATCATTAACAAAGTACCCAGCAGCAAAGGAAAAAGAATTTCAAAGAATTCATGCATTTTCACTATGTAATCATAAGAGCCCTGTTTTAACACCAGAACCCTTGGTCCAGGGGCAAACCATAGCTATATAGGTAGCTCATCTGCTTAATATCTAAGAGCAGTGAAGATGATTTTTAAAGAATTAATGTATTTTCACTATATAAGCAATAGAGCCCCGCCCTAACACCGGAACCCTCAACCGCGGGGTCATGAAATTCACAATTTTGGAAGAGACATTCTTGCTCATCATATGTATTTAGTTGGTTGGTTTGTTTAATACCAGGAGCAGAGAAGATTTTCGAAGAATTTATGTAAATTAACTATATAATTAATAGAGCCCTGCCTTCGCACCAGAGCCCCTGACCATGGGGCCATAAAATTAACAATGTTGGAAGAGGCACCCTTATTCAACATAACTATGTACTTGGTTATTATTTAATACCCAGGAGCAGAGAAGAAGAGAGGATTTTTTTTAAGAATTAATGTATTTTCACGATATAATCTATATAGCCCTGCCCTAGCAAAAGAACCCGGTCCATGGGGTCATGAATTTCACGGTATTGGTAGAGGACTCAGTGCTGATTACAATCACGCCAACAATTTGACTGCTAGATGTCCAGGAGTAAAGAAGAAAATTTTTAAAGATTGCATTAATTTTAGTGGTTTTTGTCCCACCCCTCAGGACCCAGGGAGGCGGGGACCATGAATTTCACAAAATTTGTTCCCCTTCACCCAAAGATACTTTATGCCAAAATTGGTTAAAATTGGTTGAGTGGTTGCAGAGAAGGAGCTGAAAATGTTCGAATGTTAACACACTACGCATGACTAACGGCGACGGGCGAAAACGGATAGCAATAGGTCACTACTCAGGTGACCTAAAAATAGGGTAATAAACATTTCATTAAGTTTTTTTTCGCTATATTATAAATAAACTTTTTAATGGCGTAATGCTAGGCCTATTGTTTTTATAAAAATTGAAAAAAAAGTGGAATAGCCACTTGGAGGAGAGGGATATTTCACCTTAAAGTGACAAAATGTATACCATATATGGATGGTTGCAGAAAGGTGTGATTCTGAACATCACAGCAAGTTTACAACTTGAACTTCTTAATATTTTAGGAAAATATCCTAATCATTTACAGCCAAAGTTGGCCGAAAATATACCAGTCAAAACAATCATTTTAAACAGGGATAAGGAAAGTGAGCACAGTGGGGATCAAGTTCAAGGCCGGTCTAACGACGAAAAGTGACCCCCGTAGAATATTGACCGGGGGTCATTTTTGTACGTTTTTTGTAGAAATCATGGCCTTGAGTCGTTTTTCTCCGTGTGCATTGTAGAAAAATGACCCCGTACAATAATGATCCCTTGTCATTTTTTGAAGCAGAAACATCCCATTTCGTTTTGGTAGGAATATTCTTGTTAGTCGAATGCGATATGAAGTGTACATTTCTGAAAGCTTTTAAGCTTAAATAACAAAATCAAAGCTATACTATGCCTAGCATAAGTAATTCTATAAATACAAACAGTTTTAACCCCATCAAAGGAAAACAATACCTTTTAGAACATAATCTATTTATTCAGCCAATCAAATGCTTCCATTTCTCGCCAAGAATTGATTCTTCATGGTGAAGAATTCTTCTATTTCTGAAATATTTAACGGTGTATGATTGGTTCACTGGACAATTATATGGGCGTGTCTTTATTGGTTTTTGTTCAGCACACAAAAAGAAACTATTCAAAACCCGCAAGCTGTTTGCATTGATATTTAAACTTTCAAGGCCTTGCTACACTTTTTTTTTAATTTCTGCTGTAATCTTTTGTCGCCTTTCTAAATATTATTTTTCACATTTCGGTACATACAGAAAATACAACCATCTTCATGTATATCAGAGACGAACCTTGTCTTTGAAGACAGATTTAAGGTACTCCGATCCTCAGGTTCTGAAAATCAGGCATTGACTAATTGAAAATATTCACAAAAATGTCTCTGAATTTTCTAAGTAACACGTTTTTACCCACAATAATTCGTCAAACTTCATCTTTCAAGTAAATCATATTATATAGAGAAAATTAGTAAATCTCAAATATATTTTCAGGAATTGCGAATAAAAACACCTGCTATGCAATTTCTAATTCAAAGAAGAAAGTACGGTATGAACAAAAATCCGCCCAGTCCCAAATTCTAATTAAATTGTTCTTGAAACATGTATCACACCCTCGCGTTAGATGCATGTGCTTGTCGGTATTGCCACTAGGGTGGACTATTAGTAAATGAAGATAAAACCGCTTTACGATTTGCAGACCTTTATCACTCGTCGGGTCGGAGTTTTCAATCTGCAGAGTTTGTACTTCAGTTTGCAACTCTGAAATGGTGTTCTTGTCTTTGGCGGTATTGTCATTTGTTGTTTCATATGAAAGTGTTTGTCTCGTCGGAAGTTGACCAAAATTTTCTTCTTGGTTAATAATCACATTTACTGCATCGGCATACATTATTGCCATCTCTTTCACTTTGATGCTAACTGTTGAAATGGTAGAACTCGCTTGGCTGTGAGAGGGGGTCGTACCCGGTTATCTGCACCACTTATCACACCCTTGCGTTAGATGCATGTGCTTGTCGGTATTGCCACTAGGGTGGACTATTAGTAAATGAAGATAAAGCCGCTTTACGATTTGCAGACCTTTATCACTCGTCGGGTCGGACAATATCAGGGACAAGCACGTCCCGATTCCAACTCTTAGAATGTTTACAAAAATTTGTATTTATAGCCATGGCTGATAATTGACAAGTTTTAGTAACATATGGCATGAGTTAATTTGATATACAAATAGAGTTGAAGATTATATGATTTTAAATAAACAATAATTAAGTCACACAAAGCACAGTCCATCTGGTCATATCACTCATGGCTAATTAAGATAATTAAATATTACAAAATAGATAATTCTGACAGATTGAAGCAACTCATTGACAGCTCAATAAATTAAAAACAGATGTGAGAATTTTAAATTGAAATAATACAAAATTAAGAAATTGTCAAAATGTCCAGTGGTACAATTTCATCTGTGACACATGTCTAGGGTGACCACCTCCTAAGTCATTTTAATTTTTTTTATTATCTCAAACCATTTCTCCAAGAGAGCTCTTTAAATATAGGTAGTTTTTGTAAGAAAATAACGCAATGACGTTATGACGTCAACTTGACGTTATCGGATTTTGAACGTTTTAATCCCGATACAGCGTAAAAGAATAAATTTTGAACTGAAAAAACTATAGCTTACTCTTCTGTTTCCTTTGTGAGCTATTCTTAAAATGTGGAGAGAGTTTAAATTTCGCTGAATTTAAAAATTATTTGTCTTTACTGGAAATTTTGTTGGTCATTGATTTTGTTAGTTTTTCCGAGAAAACGATTCATCAAAAAAGTCAATGGAACAAAATTTTTAGCTTGAAGTCCATTATTCCAATTTTTTTAACACGATTAAATCTTAAAATTCTGAATATACGATATATCTTTCTTTTATTCAATTTGTGTGTGTGTGTGTGTAGACAGTGTAAGTTTGTAAATAGAAAATAAATACGAGGACATACATTATACATGTATGAATTAACTGCATACGATATTGTTCGTGCATTATTATAATGGTTCTTATGATAAAGACGGCTATCATAATTTTAAATTTGTTGATGCCATGTATATAAATTAACAAAACACAATTTTCAGTTTCGGCTTTTACTTTTTGAGAATACATATGCATACGTGAACATATTTTTTTTCCAACTTTGATTACAAACAAAAAAAAAAGAACATCATGATATGCAAAAACATTCAAAGGAGCTACAATGTCTTTTTTGGTAGCAATTCGCATTGAAAATTTCCCTTCTGACAAGTCGCTTGAAATCATTAATCCACCCTTACGGTAGGATTTTCAGCATTATTGAATCATGGTTAGTAACACCCCCAACCTCCCCCTTTTCTTGGATCACGTGAGGAACATTCTTTAATTGCAGACTGATCTGCCATCATGTTTACTAAATGCAAATATATCTAACCTTGGTATTTTTAACGACTTGCGTTCAATGTTTATTTCAGATCTTTGTTATGCTCCGAAATTCTGATAGTCGCTGTACACCTTGTGACTATCAGAATTT